CAGGTAGTTCCATCTTGTTCGTGCATTTAAAGTTTTAGTATATTTATCAAGAAATCTACAAGAACGCGAGCCCAAACGCCAAAGAAACGGGGGGGGGGTGGGGGAAGGGGAGGGGGGTAACAGTCGACCAGAGGACGTACCGATGGTAAAGGCCAGACACACGCAGACCTGCATGCACAGGTGTATCCACGAGCGGAGGGTGTGGAAGATGCCCATGTGTGGCAGGGGGTATGGGTAGGTAGGAAGGGGGGGGGGGGGGAGGGGAGCGGTGGGCGTGGTCTTGGTGGCGGTGTGGTGACGGTGAGCTGTTGTGTTCCGTCGTGCAGGTGCTGTTGGGGCTAAGCGGCGGCCACGCGCTGGCTGGGGCGACGGTCACAGGCCACGAGTGCGGCTGGGACTACTTGGGACACACGGATGCAGGGCGTTTACACAAACGGGTTATCATGCTCTGAATCCTCGCCATCGCCGCCATCGTCGCCATCGTCGCCATCGTCGCCATCGTCGCCATCGTTGTCGCTGCCCGAGCGCTCCGGCTCGTGGCCATCATCGCCGTCGCTGCCCACGTCCGAGTACTCGACGTGGCTGCCAGCACTGGCAATGCTACCAGCGTGACTGGCATCGTCGGCGAGAGCAGCGTCGGGATACTCGCCAAACGGATCGGTTGCGCCCTCGGAGTCGTAGCCGTCGCTGTCGTAGGCAGCGGCGTCGTCCTGAGCGGCACCATCGCTGGCAGGCGATGCAGCGGCATCGCCGGAGAAAACAGGCTGGGCGTCAGCGTGGTCCACCCCGACACCAAAGGTCTTCGCAATGAGCTCGTCGCGGCGAGCCTTCTCCTCGGGTGAGGGGCGGATGAGCTCGACGGTGACGGCAGGCCAGGACTTCTTGAGCTTGAGGTGGCGCATGAAACGGACCGGAAGCCCGTTGAGTGTCTCGATAATGTCGCCGAGGTGGAGGCCGAGGTGCTCGCCGAGCGAGCCAGCGTCGATGCCCGAGACCGAAATGCGTCCGTCGAGCTGGACGACGTCGATGCCAAACTCCTTGGGCAGCGGGGAGAGGGTCGAGGTGAGGACGAGGCGCTGCGGTGGCTCGTAGACGGCACCGACCTCGTCGTAGATGGCGGCAACATGCGAGGGCCAGTCAAACTCGACCTCGCCGCCGTAGTACTGACGCGGCAGCTTATCGGCGCCAAAGATCTCGTGCAGCTTGGACAGGTCCGAGCCGAGCATGTGAACCCGCGACGAGATCTTGGACGAGACAAACGGTTTGGCGACCTTGAACAGGCCTGAGATGAACCAAGGCTGGTTGACCACGTAGAAGCCCTTCATCCGCGCCGGAAAGTTCTTGGACATCATCTCAAAGCAGACCTTGGCGCCGTTGCGCTCAAATGACGCAGCGTCGAGCCCCATGCCGCGCATGTCCTCCAGGATGACAAAGCCGCGGATCTGGGTGGCGTCGTCACGGATGCACAGATGAAGCAGAAAGTACAGCGCGCGCTGAAAGTCGGCGAGGCTCGCTCGTGACGTCTCAAAGAACGCGCCCTGCAGCGAGACCATCGTCCGGCCCTCGTCGTCCTGCCCGAGCACCCACATGGCCCCAGTCTCCAGCGCGGTGCGGAAGGCGTCGACGTGAACAGCCTTGTCCCAGCCCATCTTGCGGGCAAAAGTGTAGTAATTGATCACGTTGGCGGCAGCCTCCTCCATCCGGAACTTGCGCGCCCGTGCAAACGGCAGCAGGAACCGAAAGTCTGTCCGCACCTGGAGCTCCTCGTACAGCTCGTGACTCTGCAGCAGGTTGCGCAGCTCTTCCAGGAACTGCAGCCGAGTCGCCGGGTCTTCGTTCAGCTCCTACATCCCGCGAGCCGAGGAGCAGAGAGGCGATGATGATAATGATAATGATGATGATGATGATGATGATGATGATGATGATGATGATGATGATGATGATGATGATGGTGGTGGTGGTGGTGGTGGTGGTGGGCGGGCACACGCACACACGCCCCCCTGGCCATACATGAGTCCCCCCGCAACCTCACCACACACACACACACACACACACACGCACACACACGCAAACTACATACCTCTCCCCTCCCCTCCCCTCCCCTCCCCTCCCCTTCCCCCCCTCCTTCCCTCTCCACCCTCCCCCCTCCTCGTCCCTCTCCTTCCCCTCATTCCGTACCGCCAGCGCCTGGGCAGCCAGGTCCTCAGGAAGCTCTGCAAGAGCATCCCCCACCTCGATGAGGTCAATAGGTGCAAAGACAGAGTCTGCAGACACTGCCATGTGTCTTGTCTGCTAGCAACAGTCAAATGTATGTGTACCCATTCCAACCGCCACAGCCTCGGCAACAGACCGTGTGCCTGTTCCTGTGGCAGGAGTGGCCCATGACCATCCGCCAAAAAGGCCACACCATTCACTGGCTGTGGCTGTGGCCACTTGCCCCTGATCCGCCACCTCCAGCCGACAGAGGGAGACCCAGCACATACACACTCCAACACTCCACACTCCACACTCCACACTCCACACTCCACACCACTCACCACTCACCACTTACACCACTCCCCGCACAGGTACCCACTCCCTTCCCTCCCCTCTCCTTCCCCCCCCCCCCCAGCGACCCCCACACACACTCACCCCCCTCTCCCTCCCCCCCCTCCTGGCCCGTCCCCCTGTAGCACCCACACCACACTCCCCGCACACACATACCATGGCAGAGCCGGAGCCCATGGAGACGACGACTGCTGCAGAGACGGGAGCGCCTGCTGAGAGCCCGGTGGCTGCGGCAGCGGAGGAGGAGAACATGTCTGGCGATGAGGAGGACCTGTTTGGCGCTATTTCTGACGACGATGCCGGTAGTGCCGATGACGACGCCGTCGAGGCTGGCGCTGGGCCCGGGGCGGACGAGGACTCCACCGCCAACAACTCCAACTCGCTGGCGGATGTTGATCTGGCAGCTGCCGCCGCAGAGGCCGACGCCCTGCCGGATCCTCAAGGTGATGGTGACAACGACGACGACGACGGCGGCGCCGCGGCGCTCGGACTGGTGGCCAGCGACGACGACGCCGAGGACGACGATGTGGTGTACAAGACGTACACCGAGGACGGGCCGGCAATGGAAGTGGTGCTCGGGCCGGTGCCCAAGGTGGGCAAGGAGGTGTACTCGGTCAAGATGCCCAACTTTCTGGCTGTCGAGCCCGAGCCGTACACCCGTGAGGATTACGTCGACCCGAACGACGCGCGGAAGGCCGAGGACGACGACAAGCTCGTCATCCCGTGCGAGTACTACGTCCGCTGGCGGACCAACGCCGAGGGCAAGCCTGAGTCCAACACCCGGCTCGTCGAGTGGGAGGACGGCTCGTGGCACCTGTTTGTCGGCTCGGAGGCGTTTGAAGCCCAGGTGGTCCGCGAGACCCAGTACCGCGAGATTGGCATCCGCCAGCTCGACTCTATCGAGACGCTGGGCGCAACCGTTGGCGGGCGCATCTCGTTCCGGCCCGTCGACATCAACTCCAAGGCCCACAAGCTGATGACCCGCGCCGTCGCATCGCGCTCGCAGGCTGCCGCCCAGTCCAAGATCAAGACCACCGTGACAACGCCTATCGACGCCGCCGCCCATGAGACCGCGTCCAAGGCCGCAGCAGAGGTCATCCGCGCCCGCCGCATCGCCGAGAACGAGCGCCGCCGCACCGCCGCAAACTACAATGCCGCCGGCTACCTCGAGGACTCACGCTCGGGTGTCATGCCCGAGCACCACGAGTACGATGACGCCGGCGTTGAGGCCTGGCGCAACAAGCGGAAGCGCAAGCCCAACTCGCAGCTCGCTGGCTTCGATGACGACCAGCTCGACGACGACGACCTCTTCAGCGACTCGGACGACGACGCCGAGGCCCGCCTGCGGCAAGCCAAGAACGCCGCCCTCCCTCCGAGCAAGCGGAGAAAGCTGTGACCGATTTAAACCCAGCCGTGCACCCTACCGCATGTAAGCCGATTGGCACCGATTGGCACCGATGGTGAAGCTCTTTATTGATTTGCTGCTCGCTTGTCCACCGCATGCCATCGATTGTCCGAAAGTGGTGCGTGTGTAATTGTGCGCGTCGGCAAAGAGGCGCGTGACGGCCAGCAGCAACACCACCTCACCCCACTTCCCCGCACACTCCCTCGCCCACCTCAGCAGACAACCGAGGGGGCATGTCCAGGTCACCGTCACCGCGACCTGAACACGAGGAGAATGTAGGTAACAGCCCCTCCCCCCCTCCCCCCCACCATACACCCTCCCTCCACCACACTGTTGCCACCGCCACATTCCCCATTTGTCCCCTTCCCGCGCACTGGGCCATGGCTGTAGTGGCTACCAGGACAGCCTTGGTGGTGGCGGGGCGGTTTGATTCTGCACCACCGCCACCACCACCAGACACCACACACACACACCCACGCACACACACACACACACACACACACACACACACACACACACACACAGCACAGCACTCACAGAGAGAGTGTTGGGGTGGAAATGGATAGGTGGACTTGTGCAAGGCCAAATGGGTGAACCATGGAGGGAATCCGATCTTCTCCATCGATATCCATCCGTCGGCTACTCGCTTTGCCACCGGGGGCTCGGACCGCAACGTCAAGATCTGGTCCATGGTGCCGTTTGTGGATGCGGCGGCAAAGCTGACTGGCTCGGCGACATCAGACTCGGACGACGAGTCGGACGATAGTGGCGTGTACACAACGTCGGAAGACGATGATGACGATGATGATGACGCTGGATACGATGATGACGGGAAGAGCAAGGGGTCGGGCAAGAAAGGGTCGAGCAAGAAAGCGGCGGGCAAGGCCGGCAAGGCGTCGCGGATGGACCTGCTCATGGGCTCGGGCGCGACTGGATTCGGTAGCGCGGCGAGCCAGGGCTCGCCGCCGCGGGCTGCCAGTGCGGTGGAGCGGCAGCACCGGTGTCTGGCGACGCTGCCGCGGCATCAGGGCGCCATTAACGCGGTCCGGTGGTGTGCGTCGGGTGAGTTTCTGGCGTCGGGAGCCGACGACAAAGTCATCATCATCTGGGCGCAGTCCGACTCGCCAACGCAGGTCTTTGGCTCGGCCAAGGTTAACCACGAGGGGTGGGGCTTTTACCGGGCGCTCCGTGGGCATACTGCCGACGTGACTGACCTGGCGTGGTCGTGTGATGACTCATACTTGGCGTCATGCGGAGTTGACGGCGACATTCTGGTGTGGGACACGACCGAGTTTGAGCTGCTTGCCACTCTCAAGGGCCACTCGGAGTTTGTCAAGGGTCTGGCGTGGGACCCTGTCGGCAAGTACCTCGCATCGCAGTCGAACGACCGCTCGCTCAAGATCTGGTCAACTACCGAGTGGCGGCAGGTGGCCTCGGTGGCCGCGCCCTTTGAGGGCTCGCCGCCGCACTCGTTCTTCCGCCGCTGCTCGTGGTCACCTGATGGCAAGTGGCTGACCTCGGCGTACGCGTACAACAACACCAATCCTGTTGCCACTGTGCTCGCGCGCGACACGTGGGAGACTGCCGTCGAGTTTGTCGGTCATTCTGAGCCTGTGGTGGTTGCGCGGTACAACCCGCGGCTCTTTCGCATTCCGGAGCACTTTCGGGCGACAGCGGCAGCACCACCGGCGTCAGAGGGAGAGACGCAGGCCCAGGCACAAGCACCGGGCGCGGGTGCGGTCGCAGATGAGAGCAAAGGCGCGAACTCGGCCGAAGGCGATGATGAGGACGAGGCAAGCGAGGCTGCCACGCCGACCAAGGACAAGAAGCGGCGGAAGAAGAAGAGCGGCAGCAGCAGTGCCAGCCCGGGGTCTCCGTCGGCAGGAGGCAATGACGACGAATACTTTGTCTGCTGCGCCATTGGGTCGCAGGACAACTCGATTTCGATCTGGGCGTCATTCCAAGACCGGCCGCTACTGATTGCTACGGCGATGTTTGAGCACTCTGTAATGGATCTGTCGTGGTCAGACGACGGGACAGTTCTGATGGCGTGCTCGTACGACGGGACGGTCGGATGCTTTGTCTTTGACATTGAGTCAGAGCACGTGCTCTCACAGCCCGTCTCTGAGCGCGAGCACCAGCGGATTCTGGCGGACGAGTACGGCGAGTTCCTGGGCAAGACGGTGCACCTGCAGGAGTACGCCGAGACGGTGAGCCTGCAGTCGATTTCGGCGCCGTCGATGACGCTCACGCCGCGAACGGTGTCTGCGGTGCGGGCGGAGACCGAGGCGCTGCGGTCTGGGCTGGACGCAGTGAAGGGCGCCCACGGCATAGCGGGCAAGATGCAGCAGCTGGCGGTGTCGGAGCCGGTAGCGCTTCCGCCAGTGGAGCAGAAGGAGTCGATCACCAAAAGCGGCAAGCGGCGGGTCCAGCCCCAGCTGCTGTCGACGCTGCCAGGCGCAGCGGCGCCGGCAGTCCTCGCGCCGCGGTCGACGTCGCAGACGGGCTTTGCACGGCCGTCGATGAACCCGCCGGTGGTCAACACGCTCATTCCGCGCAAGCGAACGGCCACGCGGGCGTCGCTGGGCGGAGCCGGCGCCAGCGATCCGCCTGGAGCTAGCATGGCGCCGGCAGCCGGCGGGGTGTCGCGGGCGAAGCGCCAGCGGACGCTGACGATGGGCGAGGTGGAGCCAGCCGAGCCTGTGGCACGGCTGGTGGTGAGCGCGGAGGACTTGTACCTGGACCCGCCGGCGGTGACGCCGGTCAAGGCTGTCAGCTTCCGGGTGGCGCCGGCGCCGGTCCTGCTCGGGGCCGGGCCGAGCAGTCCGAGCGGAGGCGACGAGGCGATCGAGTACGCGCTTGAGGCGCGGGGATGGAAGTTGAGCGGGCCGGCAGAAGCCGGGCCTGCGCGAGGATCGAGCCTCTCGCTGAGCCAGAGTGGCGAGCTGGTGTGGGAGGCTTATGTGCCGGGGCGGGTCAACGCCGTGGCGGCGTCAGAGCTGCTTGCGGTGGCGGCGACGTTTGACGACGGCGGGCTGCATGTGTTCTCTGCGGCCAACGGCGCGCTGCTCTCGCCAGCATTGGTCCTCGGGCTGCCGCTGGTGATGGTCCGGGTGAGTGCAGATTTGCCGCGGATTGTGGCGCTTAGCGCGTCGGGCTCGCTCCGGGTGTGGGAGGTGGTCGGTCCGCTGGCGCGGCTTGGCGCACCGCTCGGGCATGGGCACGGAGGCGGCCGGGCCGCGGCGAGCATGGTGGCGCGCAAGACGCTCACTGTCGCGCCGCTGCTCAACTCTGTTGTTGCCGGCGAGGCGAGCGCGGCTGAGGTGCGCGTGGCGGACGTGCGCAGCGTCGGCCCGGAGAGCGACGTGGTGGTCGAGCTCTCGAATGGGTATGTGTACCTGCACAACGCTGCGGCGGACGCGTGGATGCGGGTGGCCGACGGCTCGTACGTCGGCTCGCAGTACTTTGCGTCGTCACTCGGCTTTGCGCGGGCGTCGCTGCCGTCGGGCGAGCTCGCGGCGGCGCAGCTTCGGCTGGTCCCTCGGCTCGCACACCAAGTTGCGCCGTTCCTGGCAGCGCTCTCGCTCAGCCAGCAGCGCCTGGTCACCGTCGGCTACCTGGAGCACCAGGTCTCTGCCGCGCTCGCCATGGGCTCGAGCAGCGAGTTTGAGCACTGGATGCGTGAGTACGTCCGGCGGCTGGTCCGCGACGCGGCCGAGGCCAAGCTCCGCAATGTGGCCATCAACCTCCTCTCCACCACCCGAGCCGATCTCGACGGGCGCAGCCTGCTCAAGGCGCTCCTCCCAGAGATCGCGCAGTCGCCGCAGCTGCAGAAGCTCACCGCATGGGTCACCGATGCCCTGCGCTCCGAAGACGAGTAACACCAACAGCGAGTCGTGTGGGGAGGGGGGGGAGAAGGGAAAGTGGCTACACTCGTCTAGCTGTGGTCGAGCGAGGAGGGCAACATGGGCGACGAGGCGGCGCGGGCAGGGACCGCAGCAGGGCCAACGGCAGTGACAGCGACAGGAACAGGAGCAGGGACAGAGACAAAGTCGGCCGGGGAGAAGCTGGGGTGTGCGCTGGGACGGCTGGTGGACAAGGACGAAGTGGACGGGGTGCTTGCGGCGCAGGAGGCGTCGCTTGAGCGGTACCGGGCGACCAACGCGGTGCTGGAGCAGTTCAACGCAGAGGTGGCGGCGGCACAGGGAAAGCAGGTCAAGGCCCTCGAGAGCTACACCAAGCTTCTACGGGAGATGAAAAAGGACTTGGACAACATCTTCAAGCGCTGCCGCTCACTGAGAAGCAAGCTCGACGACAAGTTCCCGCTGGTCGTCGCCGCCGACCCCAACGCCCTCATCCTAGATCCCGACGACGATGATGAGGGCGACCTGAGTGGCGAGCCGGGCGAGGCCGTGGGTGGTGATGTTGCAGCTGGGGAAGGGGATGGTGGGGTTGAGGCTGGTGCTGAAGCTGGTGCTGAAGCTGGGAACGGGGATGCTGCTGTCGCGGCTGGGGAAGACGATGTTGCTGTCGTGGCTGGTGCTGAAGCTGGGGAAGAGGCTGCGATCGCATCGGCCGAGGACACATGATCACGATTGTTATTCTCTGTGCAGATGCTGGACCACAAGCGGCGGCTCGAAGATGTGCCGCCACCACAGACTCACTGTGCCCGGTGACGCCGCCCACACCACCACCGCAACCATCACCACGATGCTTGCGGCAAGTGTACCCGGTGTAAAAGGCCGGGACGGGCGAAAGGCAATGCGGACCTCGGGCCATGGTGGCAGCAGCTCCACGGGCGCGCCAGCCGCCGCACTGCACTCTGGGTGGCGATCGAGGACCACGGCTGGACAGACGCCACGCTCGCCGCCGCGAACAAGCTCCACAAGCTGCGTCTCCCGCAGCATCGGCCATCTGCGCTCCAGCTGTCTGGCCATCCACGCCGCCATTGCCGTCGGATCGTCGTCGACCGGTGGGACCCGGGTCGCCGCCACGCTCCCGTTGACCACCGCCACCATGAGCGGGACGGCCCAGATGCGGACGCTCAGGGCGATCTCGGGCTTCCGCGACGCGTCGCTCGCCACATACCTTGTATTCGGCACCGTAGCTGCCGTAGACGCTGTCCCAGAAACACAATGCGCCCGCATCCGCCCCAGCTGCGCCTCCACCGCTGCCGCCGCACCCAGGAAGCGCGGCCAGGCCCGGGCCGAGTGCGGGCACCCCGGCGCATACAACAGCGCAAAGCCAGCCCCAGGCAATCCAGCACCCAGCATGTCTTCCACGCCATCAACCACAGCGACTCGCCCGCCAAGCCCGTCCACGCCGTCGCATCGGCCACCATCCCCGCCACTAACACCGCCCGCGGCACCCGCTACCACCAGCGCAGCCACGGCCAGCCCCACCCACGCCAACACCGAGCACAGTCGCATGCACCGCAGCAGTCCAACCATACACACACCAGCCAGAGCCTACACCACCAACTATCCAGCTATCGTCCAAGCACCCGCACCCGCACCCGCAATCTGTCGCCCCGGCCGAGAGCAGTGTGGGCAAGCGGGCGGTGGTGGCGTCGAGTTTGGTCGACGGTCACACCGCCACAGCGGCACAAGGCAGACCAAGCAAGCCCGGTAGGCTCAGGACGTCCAGCAGGCCAACCAGTGCCAGTCTTCATCCACTCTCCCTCCATCGTCTCATCGCTTCCGATCGACCATCCACGCCATCGTCCCTGCCGCCCTGGTGCCATGGCCGGGCCGGCCTGGCCTGCCCTGTGACGCGTCTGGGACGGGGAGCGAGGGGGGGGGGGGGGAGGGGGGGAGGGGTGGACGGAGACAGTCATCTCGCAGACAAAGAGGTGCGGAAGGATGCTTCGGGGACTGGCTGTTGGTGGAGGGGCGGCGATGGGGAGGCTTGTGGGCGCGGGTGCAGGGAGGGTGCGTGGTATGAGCGCCGGAAAGGCGGGCAAGGCAGCGGGAGTGGGTGACGCTGTGGGTGCGCACATCATCCAAACGCCGCGATATGTGCTGGACAAGGCCGATGTGGTGTTTTCGGGCATTCAGCCGACGGGCGTGCTGCATCTGGGCAATTATCTTGGGGCGGTGGCGACGTGGCTCCGGCTGCAGGAGCAGATCGGCGCCGAGGCAGCTGTGGGGGTGAAGGCCGGGGTCCAGGCGCCGATGGTGGTCTCTGTTGTCGACTCGCACGCCATGACGACGCTGGCGGGCTCGGGAGTGGCGCTGGCCGAGTGCTCGAGGGCGACGGCAGCATCGCTCCTTGCCGCTGGTATTGATCCGGACCGCACCGTGCTGTACGTCCAGTCGGAGGTTCAGGAGCACACCACGCTCGCGTGGATGCTCGGTGCGGTGACGCCCGAGGCCTGGCTGCGGCGAATGACGCAGTACAAGGACAAGACGGCGGCCGGGGCAGCATCGGCGCTCGGCCTCTTCTCCTACCCGGTTCTCCAAGCTGCGGACATTCTTCTGTACGGTGCCAACCTGGTGCCTGTCGGGCACGACCAGGTCCAGCACATCGAGCTCGCCCGCGACATCGCGGCCAAGTTCAACGCTGCGTTTGGGACCAAGCTTGCGCCGCCGCGGGTCCTGCTCAACCCGCGCGCGCCGCGCATCATGTCGCTCCACGATGGCACAGTCAAGATGTCCAAGTCGCACCCGCTCGAGCGGTCGCGCATCACTCTGGAGGACACCCGCGACTCGATCGCAGCCAAGATCCGTCGCGCCGCCACCGACTCGATCGTCGGCATGTCGTACGACGAGGAGGCCCGACCCAACGTTTCGGCTCTGCTCCGGCTCTACGCCGCGCTCACCGGTGACGAGCTCGAGGATGCGGTGGGCAAAGTGGCAGACTTCAACGCGTCGCAGTTTAAGGAGGCGCTCACGGCTGCAGCCATCGAGGTTGTCGAGCCCATTGCGCTCGAGCGCGAGCGGCTGCTGGCCGATCCTGCCCACATCGACAAGGTGCTGGCCGACGGCGCGGCGCGGGCCCGGAGCATGGCGCAGCCGCGGCTCGATGCGCTCCGGCAGGCCATGCTTCAGCTCTGAGCCTGCGGCTCGTCGCGCCGTGAGAGGCGGAGCGAGCGCGAAGCGTCCACCTCGAGCATTTGGACTGTCCGCTTGAGCTGGGTGAGCTCGTCGCGGGCAGCGCCGAGGTCGCGGCGTGAGGCCAGGTATGCGGTCTGCAGCTTGGCGAGCGAGGTCGAAGCCGCGGCGGCCTTGCGCACCGCGGCATCGCGCTCGGCGACCAGCTGAGCCGGTGGAATGGCGGCAGCGGTGCGCTCCTCGGCATCGGCGGCGGCCTGGCGGGCGGCGGCAAGCTCGGCCTCAAGAGCGGCAATGCGCTCGGCGGCGGCGGCGGCGTCGGAGAGCTGGGTGAGCTTTGAAACCTCGTTTTCGAGTGCCTGATTAATCTCGAGAGCGGCAGCGTAGCGTGTAGTGATGAGCTCAAGGGTCATTTCGTCGTCAGCAAACGAGGCCTCCAGATCGGCATGCTCGGCAGTGAGCGAGTGGAGCTGGTCAGCAAGGAGGGCCGACTCGGAGTGACGAGCCTGTGCATAGTTGCGAAGCGCCTCGGCCTCGGTCTGGGCGGCGGCGAGTTCGTTGTCATGGGCGGCATCGCGCGAGCGCAAGACCACCATCTCGGCTTCCAGCTCCGAGTTGCGGGCAGCGAGCTCGGCGGCCGAGTCGTGCAGATCGCCGGCAGCCGCGGCCAGCTCGGCCAGCTCGCGCTCTGCAGCCTCTGCCCTCGCTTCTGCATCAGCCGCCGCAGCCGCAGCAGCACCCAACGCCTGCATCATCTCCATGGCGTCACGATCGGACGTCCCACGCGGGAGCAGCTTGATCTTGGCAGCGAGGGCAGCGTAAAGAGCCTTTGCGTCACGGCGGGCAGCATCTTCCCGAGCCTTTGCATCATCGTGCTCGGCTCTTGCACGATCCCGCTCGGCAGCGACGACAGCCAGCGAGTCCTTCATCTCAAGCAGCTCGATCTGATCTGATGAATGACGATGATGACGATGACGATGCTTAGCAGCGAGCTCTGCCTTGATGAGAGCCCTCCTCGAGTCTGCCACCAAGGCCTCCAACCGACCATTCTCAGCCCTCAACCTAGCAATCTCATCATTGCGCCAACGGAGCAATCTCTCCGGATCCGGCATGACTAATGGATGGGGTGGGGTGGGGTGGGGTGGGGTGGGGTGGGGTGGGGTGGGGTGGGTGGGTGGTGGGTGGGTGGTGTGGGGTGGCTGCGGCAGAGTGGCCGTTACGGGTTGAGTTAGAGGGGGCAGTGAGGGGAGGGGCAGTGAGGGGAGGGGGAGGGGGGGGGGGGGGGGGGGGTAGGAAGGGGGGGTACTTGACTTTGACCTGGGTAGTCATGGCGAAGAAGAGCAAGAAGAAGAGCAAGGTATGGAAAGGGGTGGGGGTATGGGGCAGTGGTGGTGGTGGTGGTGGTGGTGGTGGTGGTGGTGGTGGTGGTGGTGGTGTGGTGGTGTCCGTTAGACTGACGGGAGGAGGGGATGTAGGACGAGGACAAGGGGAACAAGGAAAAGGGGAAGGAGCACAAGGGGGGGAAGGGGGAGAAGGACAAGGGGAAGAAGCACAAGGGCAAGGGCAAGAAGCACAAGGGGAAGGATGCATCTGATGCCGATGGGCCGACGTCGTCGTCGGACGAACCCGAGTTTAAGGCCAAGAAGTCGTCCAAGGGCAAGAAGAAGTCCAAGGACAAGAAGAAATCGTCCAAGGACAAGAAGTCATCCAAGGACAAGGGCAAGAAGAAGCACAAGAAGCACAAGAAGCACAAGGATACTTCCGATGCGGACGAGCCGACATCGTCGTCGGTGGATCCCGAGTTCAAGTCCAAGAAGTCGTCCAAGGGCAAGAAGTCATCCAAGGACAAGGGCAAGAAGAAGCACAAGAAGCACAAGGATACTTCCGATGCGGACGAGCCAACATCGTCGTCGGCGGATCCCGAGTTCAAGTCCAAGAAGTCGTCCAAGGGCAAGAAGTCATCCAAGGACAAGGGCAAGAAGAAGCACAAGAAGCACAAGAAGCACAAGGATACTTCCGATGCGGACGAGCCGACATCGTCGTCGGTGGATCCCGAGTTCAAGTCCAAGAAGTCGTCCAAGGGCAAGAAGTCATCCAAGGACAAGGGCAAGAAGAAGCACAAGAAGCACAAGGATACTTCCGATGCGGACGAGCCAACATCGTCGTCGGCTGATCCCGAGTTCAAGTCCAAGAAGTCGTCCAAGGGCAAAAAGTCATCCAAGGACAAGCGCAAGGCCGAGGAAGTGTCTGTGTCGACCGACGACGGTGTTGACGGCGCTGACGCGGCCGAGCGCGCAGCCGCAGTCAAGCGCCGCCGTAAGGAGGCCAAGACCGCAGTGCGTGACACCGAGCCCATCCCGCCGTTCTATATCGAGGCCGTCAAGGTGCCGCGCGGCGCGGTCAAGTCTGAGACGTTCTACCGCAAGGAAGTCGACTCGTTCTACGCACGGCACTCGCTGCATCCGCAGGGCGTGAACAAGGACAAGATCGCAATGCTCGACGGGTTCATCGCCCGGCTCAACCGCCACCGCGACAAGCTCATGGTCAAGCTGGAGGCCTTGCTAACCGGCAAGCTCTCGCTCGCCGGCGAGCACTCGCAGGCCGACGAGGCACGCCTCATCAAAAAGGCCGCGCGCAAGATCCAGGACGCCGTCCAGCAGGCTGTTGACTACCTCACCTACCTCCGCGCCAAGCGCCGCCTCCTGCTCCCGCGCGCCATCCTCGAGATCCACGACCCCAAGTTCCGTAAGATGCTCAAGCGCATGGACACCAACCGCGACGGCGCCATCTCGTTCACTGAGATGCTGGCGTACTACGACTACGGCCCGCAGACGCCCAACACCGACTTTCGTCGCGCCCTCTCCATCCAGGCCTTCCGCCGTGTCGACACCCTCGACACCGGCAGGCTCCGTGGCCTCGGTCTCATCATGGACTACTACATCGAGCTCAACAAGCTACTGGTCAAGTCGTTCGGCACCTCTTTTCCAAGCTCGCCCGCTCCACCGTCGGCGACCGCCTCGGCCTCGGCTCGGACTCGGACCCCATCTCCGACTCTACGTCAGAGTCGACCCTCTCCGAGTCTGATGACTCGGACTCGGACTCGGACTCGTGATCCGTTGCGTAGATCTCGTAATACTCTGACTTCCTGCTCACCCATGCGTTTTGCTGAAGCGTTGACCCCTCGATGTGTGTTTGCTTGATGTTTGCTGCCTTGTGCTCATCCGTTAGACTGTGCCATACTAAGCACGAGGCACCATTTTGGCGATCATGCGAGATCATGCTCGCACCTTTTCTCCCATGTCCTTACCCTCCTTCCCTCATCCCCTTACCTACGTGCCAACCAAGAAGATCAGATATAAAGACATGACCTCGGATCACCCGTCTACTGCCTCTGCAAGCCGATTCCCCCCCCCCCTCCCCCTCCCCCCTCCCTCCTCCCCCGGGGTCAGCCCCACTCGCCCACAACACAAGTCCACAAGTCACACGTGCAGGACGGATCACACGCCATGCCCCCCTTCCCCCCCCCCTCTGCCCATAGCCACCACCACCACCACGGCCACCACAACAACCCCACCCACCCCCCACCCCTCTCTCATCCAAACACCCCAACATGGGGAGACAACTCACGTACTGGTGCCCCCGCTACCACTACCTTGCTCTCATCTGTTTCCTTCTCCTTGCCCTCGCCCTCCCCTCGGCCGGAAACGTGCAGGTACGCCCGGCGCCATCTACGACCCTTTTCCGACCACCTCCCCCCCCGCCATCCCCTCCCCACCTACTCACCCCCCCCCCCGCACAGCTGGATGCGCTCAAGGCACTGTACGATGCAACAGGAGGGAAGAAGTGGCGGGTGGCGGACGGATGGTCCAAACCGCTGGCGGTCAAGTTCTGTGACGGGTGGACGGGCGTGGTGTGTGACGGGAACGAGAACGTGGTGGCGCTCGAGTTGGCGGGGAACAACCTGGTGGGTCAGCTGCCGAGCAAACTCGGCGCTCTTCAGTCGCTGGTCACACTCAATCTGTCGAGCAATGCGCTGGATGGAAGCATTCCCCCGGGCATCGGCGGATCGCTCGAGGCGCTCAACGTGCTAGACTTGTCGGACAACGCGCTGGCCGGGCCCATTCCACAGGCCTTTGCTGGCCTGGTCAGCCTCTCCAAGCTCTGGCTCGCTCACAACAAGCTTACCGGCTCAGTGCCAGATCTCTCGCAGCTTCCACTTGTCGACCTTGATGTGGCCTATAACAAGCTCGACGGCGAGACGCCCGATTGGATGGCATGCTCAGGCGGGGCCTTGGCGTGCGACGCATCGCACAACCCGGCGTTGCTGTGCCAGAGTGGGTGCGGCGGAAACGCGTGCGCGGTGCGCGGATGCGAGTGCTCGACGCCGTGCCAGTCGTCGGATGACTGTGCGGGCAATCTGGCCGGGTGCTTTGAGTGCCTCCCGCAGGGCGTGTGCGGGCGCAGTCTGTTCCCGCCGCCGCCACCGCCGAGTGTCTCGCCGCCGGCGCCGCCGCTGCATCCGCCGCCGACGCCTGTCGTTCCGCACGTGCCCGCGCCGCCACCGCCGCCGTCGGGGCGGACGCCGACCCGGCTCCGGACGTCGCACCATCTCAGCGACGTGCTGTATGCAGTGCTTGCGGTCACCTTTGCGGCGCTCCTCCTCGGCTTTGGCACGCTGTTCATTGTACTCCGGCTTCGGCGTGAGACGCCGCTGCGTCCGCGCGAGTATGTCCGGCTCCCGCGCCCGGACCGCACTGAGCGGCCCGGGTCGGCGCCAGGCCTCGTCTCGCCATCCAAGGACGAGTTCATGCGGCTCGCCATCCGCGAGCGGGCCACCGAGGTCAACACGCGGTACAACGCCGAAAACTACTTTGCACCGCCGCGGCCGCGTGCCAACTCAGGCCCCGACCGCAAGGTCAAGTTTGCCGAAGACGTCAAGGTCAAGATCATGACACCGCCGCCGTCGCCGTACTCGTCGACGACGTCGTCGGCCCAGCACGCGTCGCCGGCGCTGCCGCCGCCGACCGGCCCGGCTCCGCCACCGGCCTCGCTGCTCGAGCGGTTGTAGCCGGTTACGGCGGCGGCGGCGGGTGGAGCATGACCTCAAAGCCCGATGTCGCCCCGAGCGCGACCACGATGATGGCTAGCAGCAGGGCCTGCTCGCCCCGCCCACGCACCTCGTCCCAGGCTTCGGGCAGGAGCTCGGTCCAGCACATCATGACCATGGCGCCGGCGGCGAGGCCGAGGCCAACCGGCAGCACCGGCGCAAAGGCGTCAACAAAGACAAAGGCCGGCAGAGCCATTACCGCTTGAGGAACGGAAGAAAAGATGGCCCATGCCATGGCCTCAAGCGCGCTCTTGCCCTGTTGGACCATGACGAGCGCAATGGCCAGGCCCTCGGGCACGTTGTGCAGGGCGATGGCGAGCGACATGAACGGGCCGAGTCCGACCGAGCCGCCAAACGAGACGCCGAGGCCCACGCCCTCGGTGAACGAGTGGAGGGTAAAGACAAGGACAAACAGCAGCATCCGCGATCTGTTGCCCCTCTGCCCGGTGCCTGCCTCGCTCGCCGTCTTTGGCTGGCCGGCCGCCACAGGTTCGCCGCCCTTGCGTGCCCGCAGCCCCGCCCCGCCTTCCCGGGCACCACCACTCTGGCGGGTCTCAGCCGAGCCAGCGGCGGCAGCCGGCGCAGCGGGCGGCGGCGCAGCGAGATCGAGCGGATCGCCAAGGCCGATCCAGTCGAGGACGGCGCGCGATGCGGCGACAAAGGCGATGCCTGCGACGAGACCGAGCAGCAGGGCGAGCGGCGAGACGTCCCAGGCCTCGACAGCCATGAGAGCTGAAGCACCAAGCATGAGGCCTGCGGCGGCGGCATTGGCCGATGCGGTGGCCAGACGCGGCAGGCTGCGTGAGCTATCGAGGAGGAAGAAGGGGACGGCGCCCAGGCCGGTGGCCACCGTCGACACCGCCGCGTACCCGAAGACCTCGACTGCGCGTGCGCTGGTCATGAGGCGCGTATATGTGCGGTTGTGTGTGTGGTTGTGGTGTGTGTGTATGGGTGGCTGTGGTGTGGTGGTATGGCGTGTGGTGGTGTGGTGGTGTCTGTCTGCAGTGGGTGCGGTGGTTGCCTGTGGCTGAGGTGAGTTGCAGGGAGAGGGGCAACACTGACCGGGGTTTAGGTGGATTTGGTGGTTGGGGGGGGGGGGGGGAGGTGATGGATGGATGGATGGATAGAGGAGAGGGGAGAGGGGAGGGCTACTCCTTGTCCTTGTCCTTGCGCTTGCGCTTGCGCTTGTCCTTGTCCTTGTCCTTGTCCTTGTCTTTCCCCTTGTCTTTGTCCTTCCTCTTCCTCTTCCCCTTGTCCTTGTCCTTGTCCTTGTCCTTGCGACGGCGGCGGCGGCGGCGACGGACAGCCGAGTCGGCGCTTGAGACCGAGGTGGCATCAGTGGCATCGGTGGCGGTGGCATCGGTGGCATCGGTGGCGGTGGCATCGGTGGCAATCGAGGCCTGTGACGATGAGAGTGAGCCGGCAGAAGCAGTGCTGGGGTGGTCGACCGAGTCGTCGATAGGAGCAGGCGCGGCGCCAGTCTCGCCGGTCAGCGGCTCAAAGTACACATCCTCGCAGTGGATGAGCTGGTTAATGACGGTGAGAAAGTGCATCTTGGACGGGCCGAGCTGCTTGCCGAGCGTCTGGGCAAGCGCCACGTCATCGGTCCGCTCGTTGACGCCGCGAAGGAGGCAGTAGACCGAGACAAAGAGGTCCACGCCCAGCTCCTTCTCCAGAAACACCCGGAGCGACTCGACCCGCGAGTAAATCGAGGCTCGATCGGTGGCGTCGAGCTCTCCGGTCTTGCCGAGGCTCGGTGCCCGCGGCACCGACGGCAGAGCCGCGTCTGCCGACGCCAGCGCCGCCTGCGAGACGCGCCGCTGAGACTGCTTCCGCTGCGACTTGCGCGCTTTGATGACCGACGTTGTGGCAGTGACCGGCTGTGCCGGGCCATCGTACAACCCGTCGCCCGACCCGGCACTGACGTCGTCGTCATCGGGCTCGACCTCGAATGCTGGAGCATCGTCGTCATCATCATCATCATCGTCGTCGTCGTCGTCGTCATCAATGACAACAACCACATCGTCGGCGGCCGGCTCGGGCTCGTTGCCCTGGAGAATGCCCATGAGGGCGACCAAGTCGGCGTTGTCGCGCTCCTCACGCTCATGCTTGGCGTCGTCGTCGTCAGCAGCGGCGATGGCGGTCGGGGTAAGGAGCTCCGAGTCTGTGCTCTCGTCGCCGTCGTCCGGGATCTTCAGGGCAGCGACGCGCGACGGCGGCAGGGTAGGCGGCGGCGAGTTACGGTCGTCATCTGACTCGCCGTTTTCTGCGAGCGAGTGCTGGGTCGGCGACATCCAGACAATGTCGAGGCCGCTGCCGCCGCCGGCTGCTGCAGCGGCAGCCTCCTTCTTCTTGGCAAGCATTGCCTTGCGACGCTGCTCGCGGACAAAGGCGCGGACGTCGGCCTGCTTCTTCTTCTTGTCGGCTGCTGCGGCCGAGGCGCGTGCGGCGGCATCGGCATCGCGCTGCGGGAGCGGGCCTGCACCGCGGGCACGAGCTGAAGGCCTGCGTGCGGCGACGACGACGTCGGCCGACGACGTGTCCGAGCTCACGCGCTGCGACTTGGGCGGAAGAAACTTGCGGATGGGCGCGGCGGCGTTCTTCTTGGCCTTGATCCGTCGCAACCGCTCCTTGTGCTCGCGCTGCTCGCGCTGGCGGGCAGCGAGCTTCTCGGCGCGCTTCCGCTCAAACTCTTCCTTGCGCTGGCGGTTGGCAATGGCGCGCTCCTCGGCAATGCGCATCTTTTCTGCCTTGAGCTGGGCGCGCTTGGAGCGCGGCGCAGCCTCGACCCGGCGCTTGTCACGGGCGTGTGCAGCGTTGGCCCGCTCGGCTTGGGCGCGCATCCGGCGGAGCTTCTCCTCGCGGTGGGCGCGGTCGGCTGACGACCTGCGCGACGAGGCCGAGCCGGAGCCCGAGTCGTGCCCGCTCCGCTTGCGGTTGAGGTGCTGGCGGGCGGGTGGCGCAGTTGGCCTGCGTTCAGCCATGCGCTCGCGGTTGGCGGCCATGAGCGCGTCCATCTCGGCCTCCATCTCGTTCCGCCATATAGTGCCCGGGCCGGGCCCAGGCTCGAGCTCGTACGCGGGTGCGTTGTCGTCAAGGCGCGGGCTTGGGCTCGGACTCGGAGAGGCGTGGTTGTCGTTGTCGTCGTTGGTGTCGGCCGACGCCTCAGACTCTGACGGCGGTTCCGATTCGGAGTCTGAAGCCCGAGCTGGAGGTGCAACAATCGAGGTGGCTGACGGCGAGCCGCCTGGCGAGCCGTGCGAGCGGCCGAGCTGGACCTCGGCCATCTTACGGTTGCGCTCCGAGGCACGCTTCTGCTCGAGGTACTTGCGGCGGCGGATGGCGCGGAGCTTGGCGCGGCGCTCTGACTCGCGGCGGGCGGCGGCACGAGCAGCAGCAGCAGCGGCGGCGTCGGCGTCGGCGGCCGAAGCCACGCGCGACTTTGGCGGCGGGCGACGCGGCTCGCCCGGGGCTGCAGGCGCAGAGGACTTGCGCGGCTTGCGCTTGGCCTGCGGCTCTGAGCGGAGCTGGGCCTCGATGCGCTGGCGGTTGGCCTGGGCCTTGCGCATGCGCTCGTGGTACTCGTGCATGCGGGCCTCGTTCTGGCGCTGCTGGGCGAGGGCCGAGAGCATGTCGGCCTTGCGCTGGACCTCGCGCTGGCGGGCCGAGTCGGCGCTGCGGCCGCGGTCTGCGGCAGCTTTGTTGACATAGGCGGCGGGTGCGGGCTGCGGCGGCGGAGCGTCGATGGCGCGGGCGGCGGCTGGACCGTCGTGGAGCTTGGCGCCGTGGAGGACAGTGTGGGAGAACTCGGAGCGCTTGATGGTCTCTGAGAGGAACGAGTCAATGCGGCGGCGGACAAAGGGCCGCTGCAGAATCTCCTCGACCGATGGGCGCTTCCGCGGGTTTCGCTGGAGGCAGGCGTCGACCAGGTCGACCATGTCGGTCGAGTAGTATGAGGGGATGGGCGGGTAGATGCCGCGCATGATCTTGAGGACGAGACCGTGCATGTTCTTCGAGTCAAACGGGTGCTTGAGGGTGAGCATCTCGTAGAGGACAACACCCATGGACCACACGTCCGACTTGTTGTCATACGGCTTGTTCTCGCAAATCTCGGGCGAGAGGTAGTACGGAGTGCCGATGGCTGTGGAGGCGAGCTCCTGGGTCGAGTCGAGCACCTTTGCGATGCCAAAGTCACCGAGCTTGACCATGTTGTTCGAGGTGAGGAAGATGTTGGCGGTCTTGAGGTCGCGGTGGAAGACCTTGCGGTCGTGGACGTGCTTCATGGCGAGGCAGATCTGGACAAACCAGTCGAGGACCTGCGACTCGGCAAAGTGGACGCCGCGCTGGGCCTTGATTCGCTTGTACAGGTCGCCGCCGTCTGCGTAGTCCATGACAATGTACAGCGAGCCGGCCTGAATGAACGACTCGCGGTAGGCGATGATGTTGGGGTGCTTCATCTGCGCCAGGACAGCCACCTCTTTCTTGGCCTCGCGCCGTTCCTTGCGGTCGAGGTTCGAGACCTGGATCTCCTTGACCACATACAGCCGCCCGTCGCCGCCGTGCTTGCACAGCATGGCCTTGCCGAACGAGCCCTTGCCGATCACGCCCTTCATCGCGTACACCGCCAGCCGGTCGGTCCGCCCTCCTCCGCCGGCGCCTCCGCCTCGGCTCCCACCTCCGCGCCCTCCCGCACCCCTTGGTCGCGGCGGTCGCCCGCTTCTCCGCGGCATCTCCAGGTCCAGTGCCGGCGCGCTCGAGTCGAGGGTGCCGCCGTCTGCGTGCGTGGAAGAACGTTCACCGAAGGTTGGTCTGTGGTGAGTGGCAGGCGCCCGGCGGGAGAGCGGCTGGCGGGAAGGTGACGGGGCTGGGGGGGG